ATAGCCGAGCGTATTTTATCGTCGACTCCTTTATCAATGAATCGTCGTTGCATCCCAGTGGCTCTCGTCGAACGATCTTTCTCATTGTCGAGACTTTCGTGATTCGCGGAGTGGTCGATCCCGCCGAGGCATGTATATCAACCGGTCGGGTATCGAGCCGCCAATCTGCGTATACTTTATCCTGTTATTCCTGATCCTTCTGTCGATCAGCGTTCAGCGAATCGAAGGTAAGTCACTCGGATTCGTTCCGACGTATCGTGAACGTCGCTGTCGACTTTTTACGCCACGTAATACCACGCCAATTGCATGACATACTCAACGTGCACACACACACACACACACACACATATTTTCCGCGACTCATTACGGATATACAGCGTTGATAGGCTGCACTATATATATATATATATATATATCTGTAATGAGTCGCGGAAAAAGGACAGAGCGACGCGTCGCGAAATACACGGGACGAGCAGATTTATGGCGCGGATACGTGCCACGGCAACTCGTTCGCGTCAAATGCCAAGATATTTGTCGATATTCGCAGGTAGGAGATGCGTGTGCACGAGCAAGGCCTGCAAGGAAGCCGGCGTCGACACGTGCAGAACGAAATTTTACTGTTACACCGAGCTGATCTTGACTGGGAAGCAAGAATTCGGGGCGAACACTACGACGAGAGGGTGCACGAAGTTTGTATTTGAATTATCAACGGAAATATATTTGAACAGAAATGCAAATATCGAAGCCGAAGTGAAAACTTTCGAGGAATGCAAAGATTTCGGGATCCAGTGGACTGCGGATTTCTATGCGTTTGGTTGGCCAAAAAGGAACTGCGCTCTTCTTTTTGCGTGCGAATTTTTCGTGAGAAACAAAAACTATTTTATTCACCATCTTTCGGATTTCTTATCTTTTTCGGGCTGATTTGATATCAGCAAAAGCAATTCTGACACTGCCGTAATTTAGGCTTCTTCACTATACATATTGAATAATTTTTTCATGAAATGTTTGCACAGAAGTTTGTACAGCAAAATATGACCCTTGAAAATGTTCTTTTCGATTCTCTATTTTGAAATCGACGCCAGACGAACAATTGCCAACGAGATCGTGTATTTTTTTTTTTTTTTTTTTTTTTTCTAAAAACGAGCTTGAACAATCAGGTATCAGATTACACAATGAATTTACGGTTTAAAATAAAGTTAGTTACATTCTACGATATACGTATAATAGAAAGAAAGGCAATTATTTTTTGGCCTCAAATTCGATAGTTTGGAGGGAACATGAAGGGTGAAGGAAAATATAAATTTGCACAAACATCCGCAGTCCACTGACTGCAGTAGAGCTTCGTTTATACGAACTTGTCGGCGAACAAAATTAGAATTCGTTCGTTTTTTCCACAGTGTATGATTCTCCATTCGTATAACGATATCTCACGCTCAGACAAGTGGATCCAATCGAGAGAGGAGTTCATTTAATTGGACGTTACCTAAACTCGGTCGTCCAAATAAACGGAGTTCTGCTGTATCATCTTATTTGTGAAAGGAACATTTTACATCGCGGCGGTATATTCGCGTTTTAGACCAAGTTTTAACCATCGCGACAGTGGTTTAACCTCCGGCCGAAGAAACAACAAGCCCGACCTCTAACCTTTTCCTCTTATTCGACAATAAATTCCACCCGGGGTACGAGTCCCGATCGGCTGGAAGACGATTTCATTCGCTGAAATCTTACGATTGACGTACCGCTATAAATTCACCGCGGCTCTATGACAAGGCAGATAACCTTGACGAGATAATCGACGGCGGGAAGTTTTCACGAAATTCTTTTTCTCTCTAGCCTCTCCACTCCCCGTCGCCGCGAACCGACGGGATTTCGAAAGCGCCGCGGCTGCCGACGCGCCACGCATCGCTAACCAGTTTTTATTGCTACCAATTAAATCTTCGAACGGTTATCGACGAGTAGCGTACAGCGTGTGGCATCAATTACCAGATAAACTTGCGAGGGAAAACGAATTTTTCTGAAAGATAATACGCGGCTAGCAAAGAAAACTAGTAGCAGTAACTGACCCGCGTTTTCCAGCGAATTCGCGGATGATCGATCACCATCGGGGATTATTACTGTCGTTGGCGAGTGAACGATAAAGAAACATAAGCGCGAGTACGGCATGTCGAAATCTCGCGAAATGGTTATTTAAATCCCGGCTATCGGGGCCGGGGTCAGGGAACTTTATCGAGCCGCGGAGCCCGTTTTTATCGGAACGTTCTACGTTCCCGTTGCTCAGGGGTGCCACGCCATTGTTGTGCGAGACAAAGTCCTGGGTCACGAGGTCGAAGTCGAGCGACAACGTGGACCGATCGTCGGCTGCCTGGATCCGTATGCCCTGGCCCAGATTGAAGTGTTGCGACAGCCACGACTACTGTAATGCCGATCGCCATGCAAACGCGTCCACGTGGATTGGCGACAACCAGAGGCCCGATCCTCAGGGACACGCTTTAAACTACACCGGTAAACAGTGTTTTTTTACGTAATACGTAATATGAAATATAAATTGCCTATTCACGGTGTTTTTGACGAGTATATTGTAACATAATTTTGGAATTTACTTAGCAAATTCATGCGAAATTGTTGTTTGAAATGGTCCCCCTGAATATTATTGACAGATTTTGTCAGTCGTGCCAATATACTAATGAAGTTGGCAAAAACTTTCGTTCGAATGATTACTCGTTATACGAGTTACTCAGAAGCTCGACATTAAACTGAATACAAATTCAAACTTATTTATTTTCTATCGCTTTCGTCGTAGCTCCGTCAAAAAGTTTGAAATATTCCCTTCAGTTGTAGGAATAAGAAGAAGAAAGGAAAAGTATCGTATTCTCTTAATCTTCAATTACGTACAAGATAGAGCCGCTTTGGCTTCCGAGAGGCTCGTACGTCACCAAAGTTATCGAAAAATATTCGAAGAAAAATAAGCTTCGACCGAGATTCGTGCCGATCGGCGCCAATTCGATAATGCTTTGTTATTTGCAGTAACTTTGCAACCGCAATTTAGTCACACGCGTCTAACCCGGTTTATGTACACGTCTGCCAGATAGATATGTATCTGCATATCAATTTGACCAAAGGAGATTTTTTTTTTTTTCGTAGTTTATGATTTGCCCAACGTCAAAACATTTGAGGCGCCGCTTGCTCGAGAAATGGACTCTCTGATAAGTGTTGCTCTGTTATGTGCGAAGGTTCCTTCAATGGGATGTCGTCGAGCCGAGACGTAATGGGATTGATTCAACCGGATGCAGGTCCGATTGCCGGAGGTCGAGAATCGCCGGATCAATTCCTCGAGAATCGCGTGAAGCCGCTGCACGTCGCCGCGCTGGTCTTGGCGATCGCTGCACTGATATCGGTCCTGGCGGCTTGCTACGTTATTACAAGGTCTGGAAATGTTTATCATTACGCTCCTACCGTGATGTCTCTCGCCGGAGAATCGCGGAAAAAGCTGCCTTCGCGCGCGCGCAAGAGAGAGAGAGAGAGAGAGAGGTGTCGGATCTCACGTAACGAAAATTTTTATCATCTCCGCGAAGGCAACGTGCATCGATAAAACTTGTATCTTACGATGCCGTGTACGTTTACAAACGCAAGTGACGCACTGGCCGCAGAAATATTAATCAGCAATTTGTTTATTCGAACGAGCAATCCCTCTAACGTCTTGCCGCAATATTATGTGGATTAACAAGATACACTTTGGTATTCGAGAAGCAGAAATTTGCAACGTGTCTGCACTTCATCTGATACGAAAGTATAATGTAGTCAATCAGAATATAAAAGTTACGGAGTTCAATCTCAACTGGAGGACTGTTACTTACTTGAATTTCATTGCTACAATTTCTCCGTGACGGGCGTGATCTGAATCAATACAATGGTTTGATCTATTTGTAAAATCCGGATTATCCTGATGAACAACTTACGAGATAAAAGTCTATTCTCGTGTTAGAGCACGATACGATCGGTCGATTGTATCGTTAGCTACGATTTTCCCGAGTCGATTGTTCATCGCCTGTGTATGATAATTAGACAACGAGGTGAAACACGTCGCCAACTTCTCGCCTCCAGATGAGATATTCCTCGTACGTATTAATATCGATAGGGCGATATTTCAAGTCCAAACTGTCCGACTAATAAGCCGATAATCTCGGTTAACGGACGCGGCGCGCCGATTTCCGACGCGTGGCTGACCGTACTCATCGGGAGACAGTTGCAGCTCGTAGCGTCGCGTGGAACCGGCGATTGTTAACGGGTCGCCGAGTTAATATTAGCACAAGGTTTTTCATCGCGCTGTGCAGGACTTACCGAAGCGTGCGCGCGAATGCCAGCCAATGAGAAACGCGGCCGTGGTCGATAAAGGTAGAATAGCTAGCCTTCGCGAGCGAGCTCGTTCCTTCGTTTTCGAATCAAGGGATTTCCCTGGCACACGCCTATCGTGCCGCACACTCGCTCGTACAAACGAATCGAAACTTGTGCTTTGATCGCGAATTTGAAACGGCGCGCCGCTCTCTCGGATCGATTCGCTGGAAAAGCCCCTGGCAGAGGCTAGTATGCCAGCGGCCAATGCCAAGTAATTACAATTACCAACTTACGTGTGTATATATATATATGTGTGTGTATGTATGTACGAATGTTGTTCCCTTAACAAAGAGACGAGCGAATTTTTGGCAACGCGACAAGGAATGTGGCGAAAATACAGGAATATTTTTCAATCGTATCAAGAGAGAGGAGGAAAAGAAAAAAGAGAGGCTAAAAATTGGCTAAAGAAAAAGAAGCAGAATTACATATAAAAATATATAAAATATCCAAAATGTAGATGGTCCTTTTCATAACATTTGACACGTAAAAAATCCACCTTTGCACAGTCTCGCGAATGTTGACAGTCCCTTGGAGCGAGGTCGTTCTTCAGTTTTTGGAAAAACGAAAATTGTGTCCGGTTGGAGCAGAGCGTTTCACCGAACGTGAACCGTGTTACTGTATTTCCGCGAAGTGCCGAAAATTTTCTCCAGTTGCCGAACGCATCGTCCCCGAAGTTTGTTTCTCCTTTGTTTCTCCCTTTTCTCTCGGCCGATCGGTTTCAGCAGGTTTCCGAGGTCTGGCCAGCTCGGCTCCGTCCCGCTGCGGACTAAAAGCTGCCCAACTGCCTTCTTATCAAGACTTCTTTTTCTCTGGGACCGCGCCGAAGGAGATAGCGAGTCCCCGAAAGGCCCGCTCCGGGCTTTACCCTCTAATCTTCGGGCCCTCCGGACGGTTAAGTGCGTTTTCGAGTTTGGGAATGTCCTGGCCTTCGGGCTCGCGTACACTTTCTCGGACGTGTTGCTTCCTTTCTTCCTCCTTTATCTCGCCTTCGAGCGTGTATCACGAGGGGACCCCGGCCCGTTTCCCTCCCGATTTCTTCGTGTTTCCACACGGCCACGTACCTTAATACGGCCACGCTTCTATCTGCTCGTAATGACGTTGCCTTGTCACGAGGATAACGCGCCGCCCATGCGATCGCCTCGAGACTTCTCTTTTATCGCGGGAGGACACGAGGCGCCTCGAGCCCACGGGATATACAGGCGAATTAGGATAACAGCCTCTGTTGATAACCAACAAAGTACACCACGAGTTTTCGTGGACGGGCGTTTCTACTTTGCCCGGCTGTTTATCACCGGATATTTTTGGAGTACGTCCAAACGCCGGTGCGTTGCGCTCGCCGTCCCACCGACCGATAACTCCATAGATCTTAGAGAAATCTCTAAAAGTTTAGCGAGTTCTCCGCGCGAAACTTTTCTCTGTGTTTTATACATATCCTCCAAAATTGGGCGCCATTCGGCACCTTAACGATGTCCCTGCTGACTCGTCGTATTTAAAATGACCAGAAATCGTGACACGGTTGCACATCTTCGAGTCAAAAACGTAAGAATTCGTAACTTTTGTATTTCCACTGCTGACACGTTACTCGTTCGTTTGCAGGTTCTTGAAAACGAATCCCTACACCGTTGGCAGCGTCGAGTAGAGACCAAAGATCCTCGTTCGTAATCTAACTAAGAATCGAAGTCTCTTCAACAAAGATCGAGAACGACCACTTTTCCCTCTTGTAAAATAAATCAGGTAAGAATTCGATCAACAATCCAATCGAAACGTCAAATTGATGTCTGATCCGTGTATTACCGGTTTACCATTGTACGATGAGAAATTACACGATACGTGTCCAAAGTAGCGGAGTTAAATCGGCTCGAATCGTGCGCTCGTGTTGGTGCGTTCACGGACGCGGATACTTTCTGCCTTAATCGTATGCCCCTGATCGACTAACGAACGAACGCAAAATATAAATAGAAGGCCGGCCATGCAGGAGATAACCGCCACCGACAAGCCAAACGAGTCCGTATCGAACAGATTTTTGTCACGGATAATATCGAACGGCTTTCGAATCTCCTGCTGGAGACAGTAGCGCCGCCATATATATATATATATATATATATATATAT